TTTTGAAAGACTGTTTCAATGTTTGAATGTGGCGAGGTAATCGTTCATGGAATGATTCGACGTACGAAGCTCCCGGTGGGCCAGATTCTTTACGATAACATTTATTTGACGTTCTCCTTTTCTTTGTCTTTTTGTATCTCTTGCTCAAAAAATGCCCCGGTCTTAAACCGCCGATATGTTTTTGGAACATTTTAATAAGACAGATTAAAGAGGTCAGATTACGTTTTGTTTCGGGAACTGTTTAGGAAACGGCTGAATACTTTCGGATAGATAAGGTCGACATCTGGACCTGTTCTACTCGTAAAACATTTTATTCAGTTAAAACCAGATTCGGAGATAAGGGAAGCTTATGTACAGGGTGCGACCAGATGCCATTCATCGATCCGATGGGCGTTTTGTTACGTCCCTGGAAGCCCGACCGGCTTATGATTTAAGGAGCCGTTAATTCAAAGCGTTAATTAACCAATAAACATTAAAATTAATGAATAGGAGTTCAAAATTGAATAATAATTAAATGGACCAAGAATAAACAATGAAATATTGTCCTGGCGAAATGCAATTATAAAGGGAGGTGAATTAATTTATTATTAATCAGTAAATTCACTAATTTTTGTGGTCCACCAATTAATTTCATTCAATTAATTAAGGTTTAACTTAAGATAAAAAAGTCAGTGTGACGAGCGGGATTCGAACCCACGACCTTCGGCTTGATACGCCGCTACTCTACCACTTGAGCTATTGTGGTAGAGTAGCGGCGTATCAAGCCGAACGTCCTGGGTTCGAATCCCGCTCGTGACACTGACTTTTTTATCTCAACTTAAAACCTTAATTAATTGAATTAATCAGTAATGTTATTTAAGAACACATATTTTGGGGCATTATTGAACGAATACAATTAGGTCTTTGTGCTGCAGTTTTTTAAAATATACAATATAAATTTAAGCTTTGTAAAATTTTATATTTCGATATTAATATGATAAAGATAAATGACTGACCTCATTTTATTAAAACTCTTTGTAAACAAATTAATACCAGTTTGGATTAAAAAAAAATCGACCAAAAATGTTCGATTACGTTGAGCCAAAAGTGACGCAAGAAAAAAAAAGTGATTAGAATTTAAATATGTCCCACTAAATGTAGATCGAACTCAATGCGAATAATACATGTCAAGCAAGTCCGAGCGGGTTTGATTTAGCAAGTCCATGCTTTAACCGAACTGATTTACTAATTGACATAAACGATCTTAAAGTATATAATTAAACTGAATGCTTCGAAGAACATTTCAACGGTGCTTTGTTTTCATATGTTGGTTTGGCCCTACACCAACAATTGTTATATTCCTCAACTTTTGATTTTGAATTGTTTTATTTGAAAAATCGCCTAACGCGTTAATTAATTAACAAACATAAGTAGGTTTGTAGAGAAATTAGTCGTCTTATGAAACATCAGTACCTTAGGTTTGCCGTAAGATATACATACAGATATAACTGGTTTTGTTTTCGATCGTGACAAAGCCGCGATGTGGCTTCGGGCTAGCTCGACGGTGTTTATATTACGAATTATTCGTGAACGGGTATGGCTTTTGGGTTGCATGTCATCGGATTGGGTCCGCTCCCCCTCGTCCGTCCTCGTAATCCGCTCAGTTTTCAGTGAATACCAAATGAACTGGACCCGGTATAACTGTACACTTGTTACACGAAGGACTTGCGTAACTCTTTTCTTGTATGTTTTTCTTGTTTCTAATTTTTTTACAATATCTCGGGCCCGTTTATATAAAGTACGAAAATCATTGATGTTTAAATCGACGCAGTCAGATTGTCAAATCCCTATTATGCGAAATCTATTACATTGTTTAAAATCATAATTTTTAGTTATTTTGTTTTATTATACACGGTTTACAATATAGATGAAGGGTATTTCAAAAGGAACGACCGTTAAAAGGATCTAGGGAGGAATTAGTCCATTTAGTAATTAAAGTTAAGGGGACCGTGACCAAATGTTGCGGGTCAATTTAACGAAATTTTCATTGGCTTAAAAAAGTATTACTTTCCCTGGATAATGGGGTTCAAGAATTTTTAAAATTGGATCACTAGAACTTAGTTCAAAAAATTTCCGAATTAAGAATTTCCATTCCAGGAGCGAGCGCCATTTCTTATAACCTCCTTGGCGTATTTTCACAATACCAAATTGGGGAAAATTGCCAAGAATGGATCCAAAACAAAGCAAACGGATTCACAGCTAGGTAGCGTTGTTTTTCCGAAAGGTTCAACGAAGTAGAATCGATAGGAAATGCGAAATAACGATAAAACGTCACTTTTTGGGAACTCCACCAGAAAAACAGCCGCCCTGAAAAGTAAGGTTTATTGATAAGGGACAAAATCTTCCAACCCGTACAGATGTGCGTTTCAAATTTTTTATGCGGCAACATAAAAGTCTTTAAACACTTCTATGAGAGGTTTTCGGCAAATAAAAATTACATTTGGAGAAATAAATTCTTAAATATAAAAAAAATGTGTTGTGCCATACATTTTGTTTAGGCATAAAGTTTCAAAAAAGTTCACGGTAAACTTGAGTTTAATCATAAGAGAAACATGTGTACCAAATTTCATAAAAAATGGTTCAGTTAGTTACTGAGAAAATGTCCCTTTTAGGTTACCCCTTCCACCCCCTCAAACCGTGTAAATACTATCCCGCAACACTTTGTCCGTCTCCCCTATTGAATATAAAATAAATGGCAAAAACCAATGGATTGAATCTTATATATTTATCTGTGATACATTATTCTGTATACAATATATATAATAATAATAATAATAATAACATTTTGTGGACATTTAATTTTCAAGTCGAGCTAATAACTCAAAATCCAAAAAACTAAAATCCAAAAAATAAAAACATTAACACGAATTAAAAAAAAAAACTTTTTATACATTTTTAGGCATTAAAGTATGATTGAGGGGTTAGGACTACTCCAGACGGTAATTATTGATGAGGTCCTAAGTTCGATTCCGAGCATTGCCTTGGGATTTTAGCCCCCCCCCCTTTTAGTTATTTAATAGGCACAAGTAGGTCGGCACAGTTATTAGTTGTCAAATTGCAAATTTTAATAGTTGAGTTTTCATTTTTCACTGATTGAACGTTTGAACTCAATCCGATCGTCGAAGGTCCGCCTAGTCTCGTTTGATTTCTATCATACTTTCACTTGAAATTTAATAACGAATATTTCGTTAATGAAGCACGAGCCAAGACGAATGGCTGTTCCTGCATGGCTTTAATTACTGATTTGTTTTTAATTAATTACGCCCCGATGACATTACAAAAATTGCAAAATATAAGTATGTATATGATCTAAAATATAAGTATGTATGTGATCTTATCAAGGCCTTTAAACGTTAATAAAATATATTTTGATTTCGACAATTGGGGTTTTTTAAAGAACAGAATTCATTCGAAATTAATAAAGGTAATAATGACATGGCAAAATTTGACCATGTCACCATGGTTAGTCCCTTGTTTTTTTCAGTTCGTTTCGTCTCTATTTCTTTCCCTCCCACCCTCTCTCTCACTCTCTCTCTCCCTCTCCTTCTCTCACACCATCCCTCTATCTCCCCCCTCTCACCCTCCCTCTATCTCTCTCTCCTTCACCCTCCCTCTACCTCCCTCTCTCTCTCCCTCCTTCTCCCTCCCTCTCTCCCTCCCTCCTTCTCTCTCTCTCTCCCTCCCTCCCTCCCTCCCACTATCTCTCTCCTTCACCCTCCCTCTACCTCTCTCTCTCTCTCTCTCTCTCTCTCCTTCTCTCTCTCTCTATCTATCTCCCCCTCTCTCTCACCCTCTCCCCCTCACTCGCTCTCTTACTCTTTCGCTCTCTCTCTCTCTCTCTCTCTCTCTCTCCTCACTCGCTCTCTTACTCTTTCGCTCTCTCTCTCTCTCTCTCTCTCTCTCTCTCATCCTCTCTCTCACACACTCTCTTTCTCTCACTTTTTTAAATTAATCTTTATATTAAGCCGAAAAGTTTGACAAAACGTGTACGATTTATTTTTAAGTTTAAGTGAGTGAAATTATACAATATCCATATTTAATTTTTAAATTGAGTTAAACGGTTTTCTTTGGGTTCGATGTTCTACTTTATTTTTATTTTTGCTGTTAGCGCGATTTGGGGGTTTGGAATATGATTTTTTTGTTATGCCCTTTTAAATTGTCCAAATAATCTATCCAACAGATATAGTAAGGGAATAGTCTGTATTTTTGTACATGATTTGTGCTATCTGTGTACTGGAGAACGATCAAACCTCTAGGAAACGTTATACAGTCTGAATATCAAATCTGTACCGATTGTAAAGTAGCAAGTTGCAGGATTGTAATTTTATACCGTGCGTTGTTTCTAATAAAGATCTCGGTTTGATGGTGCTTTGTCATCCTACATTCGTATAAGAACAATACTAATTTCTTTCTAGATAAGCCTTCTGATATATTTATTAACGATCATTGATCATTTCGTGACTTTTTCAAGGTCGGGCAATCGAATAATAGATAGCGTTGAGAGGGCGAAAAGATGCGTCATTAAGCTGTTAGCTTGCGACGCGCTTTTAACCCAAGCTACTCTGAATACTAATTATTAATAAAAACAAAAAGACTAATAAATTTTAGGTTCTAAGACTCTCTCCCGCTTTTTGAGTTGCCAAACAAAATGAAAGTCGGCGTACCTATTCGAAACCACACACGACCGGCCGAATAGTTGGCCTCTTCTTATAATAGGATGTCTGATTAATGCACAGCTATAGTAAAAGCTCTCCTTTTCTAACAGTAATCCATTATGCGAGACAAAGCAAACAGGTATTGTCCGCGATAATTAAAGCCTCGTGTGTGTCTGGGTGTATGTTGTAAAACCCCCTTTGGTTAAAACGCTATAATTAACCGCATGTCTGTAAAGCACGGCAAGGAGCCTTTGCCTGGCCTAGTTTGAAAAGGTGAAAATTTTTTTTCTTAATACAACGACTCACTTGGGAAAAGATGCTCGAATCTCTCCACGCCGACTCCCATTTCAGCCAAGGCTTCAACATAAAATTACGCTTCCACCACTGCTCCCTGAAACAAATAGATTTTACCTTATAAAAACTATTTATATTTTTTTTAGAAAGGAAAACAATTTAAATTTGTTTTTGTCTTGTGGATGATTAACCTTGGAAAAGCTAAACGTTGATAGGGAATGAATAACAATTTTAAATCAAGTATGCCCACACGAAAAGCCCACTCATTTGGGAAAACAGACCATCGTATTCCACGGTGGTTGGCCGTTCGTTAAATAATAGATTTTTTTTTCCAAAGAAAAGCTTTTCAACGAGCAATTTACTCGATAAAATCCCCTATGTTTATGACTGAAGTTCGTTCAACTTTCCTGTTTAACCAGTCGTCCTAACTTCAGGAAAAGGAAATGCAATTTTCACCAAAACCTCATTTCCCAGTATTTTTCTGTGGTTTTATGACGTCAAAACGCGATTTAAACTACACTAAGAGAGCTACCCTTAATATTTTATTAATATTTGACTTAGACAATGATCGTTAATCTTACAACAATATTTGGTCCCCCTTGAAGGATTACAGGTAAATAAAACACAGGTAAAATCTCTCACTTTTGTTTACACCTTCGAACAGTCAATCTCTTCTGCGTTGGTTTTTCTGTAAAGCTCCGTTCTAACATTCCAGTGGTTTGATTGTTTTAAGTTGTACCATTTTTAAGTTTAACATTTATTTGAGTGATGGTTTTAAGTGATACAGATTCGGCTAGAATCATAGCGTTGTTGGAAGGTGCTAGAAGTCGAACGTATGTGGCCAGGGTGATTAACATCCTTTTTTTAGTTAATTTTAGACCTATTCTCATGCCCTCATTCATAGTCGAAGCCTGGGGATCTTCATCAACCAATAATAATAATGATAATTCCATCCATCTATCCTATGCAGTAAGAATGTTCATTAATGAATTCATGAACAAGTTATTCTGAGGTCCTTCTCTTAAGTAGGGTAGCGATTTATGTGATTTGATTGGTCTATTTCTATTTTGAATTTTACATTTCGAATCAAAGAAGTAATCTCATCTTTCGATTGACTTTTGGCATTTTGAAAAAATGCTTTCCTTCACAACTGGAAACATAAACTTTACCGATAACAAATCTTCAAGAACTTTTGTACGTTCAACAACAGTTGGTGTTTTACTAATAGCCACGTGTGGCACCACAGTGGGGAACTAACGTGTTGACATCGAAATAAGAATAGGGCAGTTCAAAGCATCTTACCGACCATTTTCAATCGTCTTAACGAGCGTTAATATCTAGGGCAAATCGTGGATATCCCTCATATTTAAGTAGATGTGTATTAATAGGGACTTAGTAACTTTCAAGTACTAATCGTAAGCCGCCATGTCAAGTTTGAATCATAGCAGATAACTTTATTTATTGATTTTTTTACGGTGGTTCGCAACAGCAGAGGTCATATACCCATCGGGGTGTCGGTGTTTTTGAAAAAAGCAAATTTGTAGGTATGCCGGGCTCGAATGCAGCGTTGCTTTCGAACCCGGGACTGGTACCTTACAGTGATGAGCACCGTATCATTACCTGAACTGTTGCAGCCTCCGATTCCCCTGCAGATGCTTGTATGCTTTTATACAAGTCTACACGTCACCCCCTCAGGTACAAATCGGATGTACATAAGTCCATCGGTCAAAGAGTGAAAAACTTTTAGGCCATTAATTATTTCGTAATAAAAAATGTGTACATACATATCGTACATATTTGATATGAGACTTTTCTTGCCTTGACATGCTAGGCTTTCGAGTGATTACGATTTGTTAATTTAAGATCGAATCCTTTTAACAACCACTACACACTATTCTCTTTCGGACTGAAGCCTCGCCTAGAGACAATTAACCAGTCGACGTTGACAAATTAACCCTTAGCACCTCCGGCCGAAAAAATGAGGGTGGGACATCGCCGGTTTGCATTTATGAGCACGGGAAACGATTAACTCGGATGCTCCGACCCGGACGTAGAAGAATGGACCCGGATTGACGGGAGAGGAAACTACGCCTGGCAGTAAAGCCAAGTGCTGGACGATATGTAAACTAGGTTTGTTAGAGACCAGACATCCGCCGTTGTTTATCTTTGGGGCCCGAGTGACGTGTCGCCCACGTGCTTAGTAAGATACAAAACGTATTTGCTGTGAATTATGATCAGTTTCGCCGAAGCAGCATTCGTCAAGTCAACGGAAAACTATTCGACATCTGAAACTTTTAGTTTAATTTTTAATTTAAGTTATCAATTAGCTGGAATAATAAGTTTTTTTTATAAAAGGAAAAAAATAATAAATCAATTTCCTTTTTGATGATGATGTTGATATTGGTCGTGCTGTATCTCGTTCTACGAAATATCTGAATCATATTTTGAGCATTTCCCGCCTTTGTCCTCTCAGGCCACAGCCTTCCAGTATTAGTCAAGAAGTTTAATTTTATCACGTATCGAAAATTGATAAGGTCGCCAAATGACATATTTCTCATCTTCCAGTAGCGAAAATCTTTAAAACCGGCAAATAAGACAAAGCTGCGATAACCACCGTCATGGGAGGATCCATTTGCTAACCTTGGAGTAAAACTGCGTAGATCAGCCGTCACTCAAAAGCCCTACCGAGAAACATCTCAGCCACGTTGTGAATATAACAATTTGATTTATCTAGATTTCTCAATGGCACACGAGAAACGTCTTAGTTGTCTGTTGGTTTCAACTTTCCTTTTTTTAAAGATAATTCCTCCCACTTTACATGTCGTAATACCGCCTGCCCATGTTCACCCGGCGTCAAATTGATTTTAAAAGTATTCCAGTTGATCTTTGGTTTTTAACATGATTTAAAAACCCAATTCAAGAATTAACTTTTTTTTCAAACATTGAGACTTGGAAAGGTGATGCGACTGAAACAATAAATTTTTTTGTTTTATTATTGCACAGTATTTTCTTATATTTGTCTGATTAAATACAGTAAGTTTTAAGATTATCTGATTGAAACTTATAAGTTATAATTATGCTGGGTCCGTCTATTCTCGCTGGATTACGTTTCACTCATAACGAGTACTACATGAAAATACTGTGTGAGTAAAACGTCAACTCCTGAGAGTATACGTACCCAGTTAAGTGATCGGTTCAAAATGTGACTAGCAAACCAACAATTCCACCAACTTTATTTTTAAGATGCAACTCGGCCATGATGGCGTATTTCGCCGATTGCAGAAATAGCTTGATCTTTAAAGATCTCTCGGCTGTGAATTCAAGTTATGAGAAGAAGTCAGTCAATTTTCTTCCCTTGGCATCCGAGAGGAGCGTTCTGTTTACGAAAGAAGGGCGAATAAATTTTAAAAGTCGCCATTTGAATAAGTCATTCCCTTTAGGTGGGCTTGCCGACACCGGTTTCCACCGGGACGGTATAATTTTACTGTCAGAGGCCGCCTTTCCACGTCCCGTGTCGTTTTGTGTTAACGATGTGAACTATTCATTTCAATAATTACATCTGCCCTAGTGAAGCGCTATGCGAAAGAATTACCTGGAATGTCATCCTCATGAAAGGCGGCCTGCCGGGGATTCCGACATCAGCTCGTGCCATCCGAACAAGCCTCCTGGAACAGAAAAAAAAATCAGTCGAAATGAAAAAGAAATTAATTGTCGCGATATGTCGTCTACCGCGCTTGTAATTGGGCCCTGATGGTTCTCGTCATCAACAAAAATGCGGATAATAAGGGGGAAATAATTGGCTGAATAGTCTTACATTGTCCAGTAGCCGAGCTGAATTTTCCCCCGTTTCGAATAACTCCTAAAAAATAATTCTACAAACTAAAAATTTTTTTAGGTTTCACACATCTTTTTAATTTTCATTGCGTTTTAATTAATCTTTTAATTAAAAGCTGGTACATTGTGAAATTAACCGCAGACACCAAGCGAACATTTATGTTCCGAACTAAATTTTCCCTCTGGTTCCTTGGTAATTCCTAAAACAAAATTCTATAAGCTAAAAACCTTTTTTTAGGTCGTTCAAATTTTCATTACTTTTTAATTATTCCTTAGTAAACTTAAATGATGATACATCGTGAAATTAACTGCAGGCTCACAAGGCACATTTATGTTCTCAACTACAATGACCAACAAATCCACACAAAATAATTCGTAAAAAGTAGCATTTTCTGTGCAAACTTATGAAAAAGGACACTCTTTTCTACTTTATAGTTTCATGCGGTATTAAAAAGTAATTACTGACTTACAGATAGGTTTCAACGTAAAAACCTCGTTGCATATCGCGAAATTTTATCGAATTTCACTACAGTATTTATACTTTCCGATTACAAAGAAAACTAGAATAGCAACGCCTGGATTTGAACCCAGGTCTAATTTTTCTCAAGACTCAAAATTTACAGCTATTTTGGTGTTCTTCTGTGTGCTTAGCATTCATAAAATTGTTTAACGACATTTATTGAATTAGTAATAAAATGTTACGATATTAAAACGTATTTTATGACAATTTAAGCTAGTTTACTGAGTTTTTATGAGAAAATGGTTGGTCTAAAATTTTGTTTTTAACTTCACCGTTCATTCGTATAAGTTAATATAACGGGTTTTGTTTTTGTATTATTTATCTTTATCTCAGTCAACTACAAGAAATATTGTGTGTAATGTACATATCTTGAATGTTGGATACGCTAATTTTCGCTTGTTCGCTAATACGATATCTTTCTGATTTATTCCTTTTTATCAAAGAGTCATTTATCTGGGTTTTTTCTTATAAAAGAAATAATTAAAGAGATGGTTTATATTGAATCCAGAGTATCAAATTAATAAAAGAAAAAAGAAGAATCAATCGATTTTTTATAATATACGAATTTTTGAAATTAAAATTATAAGTATTCAGAAATCGTGAGATGCGGTTTGGTGTGATGTAGGTTTCAGAAAAACATTTTGTTTATCGTGCCAACGTTTCGATCTTTATTGAGATCATCTTCAGGGCTCAAAGTGTTTGTTTTCTGTATAATTGTGTCATTCTTGCGTGTCGTGTTGAGTTGAGGGCAGTCTCAATGGCAGTCTCAAGACGGAAGACAAAACACTTTGAGCACTGAAGATGATCTTAATAAAGATCGAAACGTTGGCACGATAAAGAAAATGTTTTTTCTGAAAGTTGTGCCATTCTTGCGTGTCGTGTTAAGTTGAGGGCACTCTAAAAAAACACGCATGAATGGCACAATTATACAGAAGATAAACACTTTGAGTCCTGAAGGTGATCTCAATAAAGATCGAAACGTTGGCACGATAAAGAAAATGTTTTTCTGAAACCTACATCACACCAAACCGCATCTCACGATTTCTGAATAATTATCGATTAACGGTCACTAAATACCACACAAAAGTTATAAGATTCATCAATTTGGTTTGGGCTATGCCTAATTAACTGTTACATAAATTTTTTCCATTATTTACTTTTTATCTTATTTATTCGTCTTTTCCCCATATTGCTCAGTAAGGAAAAAATGACAACATCCCCAACCAACGTCTCTCCGTTTATCCCACAGTCTCACTAGGTAGAATTTTATATTCCTAGGCCTCAATTTTTCCGAGAAGGCATTAGAATGTAGAACGCTAAAGGGCGGAATGTAGAACGGGCTTGTAAAAGGCAAAGTGAATATGTCCACAATGTCCACCGAGACGGGGCCGACGTCCGGTTTGGTCAAGCGAAAAATGCGTTATGTTGATTGAAAACCAGTCCGCTATGGAAATAAATTCGCGGCGGCTTTTTTATCCTGAGTATAAAAACTGTCGCCCTGGGTGGATGAGGCAGAAGAGAAATAATCGCAAGGGTGTGTGCGAAAAGAAACCGATTCGAGAAAATCCGCCCCATTTTCTAATATATTGTACCTTGGTCTTTGATTATTAGCTGAGGTTCTATTATTTATTTTTTGTAACAAACTGTGCCAATTAAAGGAATAAAATTAGACCGATGGACGGCTTTGTCGACTTTCTTTTACAGCGTCCGTGGAAAAGCGATGCGCTCTACCGACTCCATTCTCGATTTAAGACCTTCGCAAAAGTAGAAATTGGCAAAATTTATAAATATTTAAACCCCGATTTTACTCGGCCTCACCTACCACGCGAACCTCTTTTGGAAGGAATTTATTCGGATTTTGTAACTTCTCTACCGGGACGCTGGCCAATAAAAAAAACCGAAAAACGAGAACTGAATATCAAAGATATTTTAGACTAAATGCGTTCTCATCCATGTTTTATTTCTAAAGAATTATAACTCAAATATGACTTCAATAAAAACACAATTTACCTATGTTTTAATATTATGAAATAAACGGAACATTGAGAGGTTCTGCGGGGGGGCATGGTTGACCAAACAGCGAAAATAGTTGTACCAAAATAATATGGGTCCATGAGAATCATTATCCCTAAGAATAACGAAAAATAAAATAAATAGGTAGGATTATTTTCATATCGTCAGGGAAAACATTCATTTCTTTCTTTCAAAAATTTATTCAACTTTAAGTAGCTAAAATATTTTTTTTTTTGTTTTGTTTTAGTGTTTAATTAATTCACAGATTCACCAAAGCAGTAGGTTCTCTATGGTAGGAATAAGGAATGTATTAGCGTAATATCAAAGCCCCGGTAATTACCCCCCCTCGTGATTACATAATATACATATATGCATGAATATGTATATGCAAATGTGTGTGGACGAGTCTGACGGAATATCGAATACCACACAAACCTGTGGATTGCGTTAGGCTATTTAATGTTAGGAAGGGGTTTAGTGTGTCTGCCGGCTGAGGCACCGAGTAATATCAAAACGACTGTGAAATGGTTTGTTAGATTCTACTATGTTTGTATTTATTAGCGTGAATGATAGGTTAGGAGTCCGACAGAGATTAGGTTATTTTTTGTAATTAGATGAATGTGTAAATGTAAATATGCGAATAATTGAATTCGTCATCACGCGTAGAAGACTTAAATATCAGAATCAACAAAGAATCCAAGTCACAGCCAAAAAATATATTTCACCAGACCGCTCCTTGTGAGCGCGTTCTGCAGATGCTCGTAAGATCTATTTCAAATAATATCTTTTTAACCATAAATTATTATCTTTAAAAAACAACCAAAATGTATACGTAATTAGTACAGAACACATAACACTTGTAATTGTAAATAAGTTATAATTAAGTTTAAGTTTAGGCTTTTTGAGATTTTATAGTTGAATGGTTAACGCCAATATACTTAAAATTTATAGTGTGATCATATAAACTTCGTAACTGATATTTCATCAAGACCACTTTTAAAATAAAACCTAAAATTCAATCTCCTTTATTAACACTTTTTATATTGAATTGATTTTAATTGAATTTTGAAGGTTTGTTGACAGAACTGTGTATTTTACTATGATGGTTACTATAAATTATACAAATGTGTAAAGTTTATTTTTTTTTAAATTTATGTTTCAATTTTGTTTTGTGGTTTACATTGTGTTCTATGTTCAGTTTTCAAACTGACAGTCAGATAGATAAAACGATTATGTATGACGTAGAAATATTAAATATTCGATACACTTCTCAAGAGAAACGTCTTTTTCTTATTTCTTGTAAACTCTTATTGATTTTTCGTGTAAAATATCATTTCTATAAATAGTATTGTGTGTAAAATAATCCCTACGTTCGTATCCAGTAACATGGCCGTTCTTGCCCGCATGATAAGTGCGATAGTGGTGCGTATGTCCAAAATTATGCTGCCCGATCGTAAAACCGACCCGTAGGCTAGCGGGAAATATTGCATTATTTTTTATTTTTTTTATTTTTCCAGTCGTTCCGCATAAATTTCTTCGGTTTTCGACGTTTTGGAATCAATACGGGCCACGAGACGAGCATAATTCTCAATTGACGCTGACCGGCTGTCATAATTTCGGCGGATTTTGTTGTTTTGCCACGCGATTATGGGAAAGCGTACGAAAATGATAATAGAACACAGTAACAAACATAATTTCACGCAATGAATTGATTTCAAAAGCTTAAGAAGTCATTGAAAGTTGGACTTTCAAACCATGATTTTCAACCTTAAAAAAACACATTAGTTTTGCCTAATCATCAGTTAATGCGATTTAATAAAACAAAAACTATCAAATTATTGATGTTTTGAAACAAATTTCTTCAATCGTTTACAATAATTCAACGTTAATAACTATGTCAAACGGAATTTGTTATTTATGGATGCAAGTTACAACAAGGCGATTTTCATTTTCAATTGTATCAATCAAAAGGATTAATACGTACCAATTTGAAACTGTAAAGTTAATTGCGTTCAATTAATGTAATTAATCGCCCACTGGCCCCCGTAGTTGATAGGCTTCCACTAGTTCAGAAACAATTTTTCAAAAAATAGGGACAAAAGTACGAAGCATCTCCGCTTCAATTCACCCTGTCGGAAAATTTGTTATTTCGTTTATTAAGGTTTTCCGCTGTCAAATCGGTCTGAAATTATATTTCGAATGTTGTATCGATCCAAATTCGATGTATCGCTCGTTTCAAATATGAAATTATACCCCTGTTTTCTAAATTTCAACATGTGAAAATGCCATTTTTTCGTAGTTGTGAAAAAAAGCTTTCTCATTGTACTTAATTTGTGTGTTTGTAAAATAAAATGATGACGTTACTTTATTCTTTCTGTGATTAATGCCTTGTACCTGATATGTTGAGATATAAGTAATTTTTCGAAGTTGTAATTATGATGTTTTTCTTGTATTCAGTAAGAAATTGATAGCCTATTTTCAAAATTAAACTACATATCACAAAATGTTTATTTTTATTTTAAATGATACTATTAGACTGCTTTTTTTCTATGATTGTTCCATTTGTTGTCTTATATGTATGTATGTATGAGCCTAATTTACGAACTTAACAAAATGTATACCCTGCACATTCTTATTTCTAAACAATTAAAATAGACAAACCCAATAATTTAAAATTTGTATTGTTTTATATTAAACATATTTTCTAATCAGTTATTAAAAATCATCTTACTTTAAAAACTACAGTTAAAAATCGACCAACTTTAATATTTGTTAAGTCATCGGTTAGGTTATTTTGACTCAATAGTCCATCCAGGTTTGATGATTCATTATCCTAAACAGCGAGTACGAGCGGACCTGAAGAGATCAAACTGCTCTTATTTCGCCCCATTTGCCTAATTATATCTGGCGAGTCACCGATCTTGACATGATACAAAGTTTTTAAAAAAAGTAAATAAATTAATAAAGGCGAAATGAAACTTTCAGATATGTATCAAGAACAATCCATTGCTCGCGAGGCGTGATAAAATTGAAACCAGTTTTTAATTAACATTCATTCCATTAAAGAAAGAAACATGCTGAATTAAACAATGATACATTTTTTACACAAATAAAAATAAATAGTGATCATAAGTGTTTAAAGAGTAAATTTTAACACGCTATCGCTAATCCTGAACCCTTTTAATAAGCGTTAATATATGGACGGATGCTATCTTCAAAAATTTTATTTACATGTTACAATTAATTATGCTATGTAAGGTCTTGGGCGACACGAAAAAGCTAGTCTCACGAGCGGGATTCTAACCCACAACCTTTGGGTATGGTGGGTTCGAATCCCCCACGTGCCACCAGGTTTTTCATCTCAACCAAGGCCTTACAAAAAAAGAATATTTAATTGAAATACATTAATATGGTCAATTATGACCATTAAACGTAAATTGTTTAGTTTATATACTTCATATGTATAGAACAGTACGTTGTACATAATTTGCAATAATAAAGTAAAATAGCTGTAATAACGATTTTTTTGTTTTCCTTACGACATAGGATTAATTTTAAATTTATATATCTCTTCAAAATGTTAACCAATGTTCTAATGAGTTTATATATATCTTACGAAACATTAAAATCACTGTGCTTGAATTTGCATCAGAAAATGTATATACATCGGCATCTACAAGTAATCTACAAATGTATGAACAATAAATTAGGTTTGTATAGTATATAGGTACCGAGCATATGTATGTGATAAAAGGTTTTATTGTATACCCGAAGACAAAATGAGTCTCGTATCTGTTGTTTATTTCAAACTTTATATGTACTTTTATCATTACATTAATTACAGCACAATTATTTTAATGTAAAGGAATTTAAATGAGAACAGAAATTCGTGAGTTTTACTGAAAATTATTTAGTTATGATATATATTAAGATCATTTTGTGATAGAACAACAATTTATTCGATTACTAAATGATGTTCTGGAGTTTGGTGAATTTTCTTTCACACCTAATACAAGTAAATATTTTTTTATTGTTTTACATTAAAATAACTATATTTAATAAATGTTACAATAAAAATACGTTCGTATAGTTTGAAATAAATTACAAAATACGAGTGTCCCCTTTTTTCTTTTTCTTTGAGTGCATTTTACCGATCATCATGGTCACTGACAACGTTTTGGACGTAATAACTTTAGTTTATTAGGTTTTACGGATTTAATGGCAGTCATCTTTACGTATTTGCTTTTACGTATAGTTGTGTGTAATTGTTGTTAAGTAAAATGTAACTATTCTCTCTCTTTCTCTCTCACTCTCTCTCTCTGTCTCTCTCTCTCTCTCTCTCTCTCTCTTTCTGTCACAACCTCTCTCTCTCTCAAAACCTTTCTCTCTCTCACACTCTCACCCTCTCTCTCCTCCCTCCGCTCATCCCCTCTTTCACTCTCCTCTTTCTCTTTGCTTTTCTGTATGTATTGTATAATTAAAAGTTATTACATTAACGTTACTATTTTTTGTGTAATAGTTCTGTTAACGAAATTGTTTTCAATAAAACACCTAATTCTATATCTTATGTAGTTAGACCGTAAAGTTAAAATTGTCGTTAGAGTAAACTAAACCTGTTCGTGCATTACTTACTATGAAAATGTGTTAAAAAGATTAAATACAACCGTACATAAATACATAATGTATGTTTGGGTGTGTGTAATTAAGTATATATTGACTGTAGCACACATTTATACGTGGACATATATTATTGGCTTATAGAATATTTTTTGTCTTAGAAAAGTGGATTTAGTCTACATTTCGGATTAGCACATCTGGGACAGTCTTGTTGGACCTGTTTAACACCATTGACAAATATCCAAATTATCTCACGATTTTTCTTTTTTTTTTGGCATGCAAATAATCTAAAAATTAAAATTAAGACCGATAAACACAAATTAAAAACATCACATTTGATATGTATTACAGGGTTCGTTTATCCGATTCGCGAGATGTCAGATGTTTAAGTATTTTTGAACAGAATGTTACGACTAGGTAAATATTGAAGTGTAAATGTACTTGGCGTTTAAAATGACAATTCTAGTGTTATTATTTTACTTAATTAAGCTATTATATTACAGTAAAACCAAGCGTAGCCTCGTTATAAATTTGCGCACTCATTCAATATTGATTTGACAAATTTAATATGGCGTCTAATTTTTTTTTCCTTCTTACAATTAGTTTAAGTTAATGTCTATTTGTAGTTTTGTATATGCACGAGGGTTTGTCACTAGCGGCACTGGAGATTTGAATGTGTGTCGAGCGGGAGGGCCTCACGGAACCGGGCGGGCCGCGGAACCACCTGTTGACAAAGCACCCTTAAAACCACCCTCTGCCGCCATCCCTTTTAATTTTCGATGAGGATATAAGTTTTTGACGTTGAAACACACAATAGGGTCGTTTAAATTTCTGATTTTCAAATTGCGAAATATGTTTAAATTGTGTTTCAAACATTGTAAAAAGTGTAATTTAAGTTTGTTTTACAAGGGAGGAGTGTTTTTGTGGGTTTTTGCACAATATGGACCATTTTGGCGGGATAAAAGAAATTTCATATGGGGAGTCTTGTTATCGTCTGAATCTCGAAATCTGCACAAGTTTTCAGTGTTTTGTAAAAAGGCGGCCACCGCTATGAAAACCGGACAAAACTGTCCCAGTGGGGAATTTTCCAGAAAATCTAAATTTACGATCGTAAATGAAAAAAAACTTACCATATGGACGTGAGAGCTGGCGGAGCGGCTGGGTTCGAGGCGGGGGCTCGCTGCAGACTGAGGTACCGTCTTGAAGATTGCAAGAGTGGGGGCAAGGGAACCCGGAGAATCCTTTTATGTTTGTACCTCGCCTTCTTGGGTTTTAAGGCTCTTCGAGGCTCGGGGGTCCTTCTTCGGCTTCTTGGCCACCTCACGTCCTTTGACGCTCAGGACGTTTTTCTTCGAGATAAGACACTTTTTTGGATGTTTCCACCTGATGCGAATCCCAGGATTTGCATTCCGTTTCTTTCTCAAAAAGGAGAATAGTACCTCAAAGGATTGCTTCTTGTTTCTTCCTGGTTCGCTCTTTATTTTTTTTTATGTTATTAATCTCGAAAATGATATCACCCTCTCATATTAAAAAAAAGTCTCACTATTGTTTTGTCTCATTAAAACTATAAACAATAACTTCACATAATAATGGAAAAAACTATTCCATATATAACTAAATAACCATAATAAATAGCCCATCTTAGATAAATTAAATTTGCAAATTAGCAGTTTGGAATATTCAACTTATTTGATCGGTATTAAATAAAAACAACACCAAAATTCTTTCTGAGGTTTATTATTGAAATGCAAGGCATTTCGCTGTGAGAGGAACAGAAATTAATTTTTTTTAAAAATGGGTGGTGGTTGGTTGACTGTGAATATATTGCCGTATAAATGGGGTTACTAACATTTTTTTAGGAAAAACCATACTTGTACAAAAGATCTCCGCTATGTGTCCATTTGTTTGGTTAAAATTGAGGTAGTTTTTAAAATTTACGCCAAATTATCGAAAGAACGGGTCTTCTACTGAACCCTTTCAGCCCAATTGGTGGCCGTTTCGCTGGTGCAAACCTATATAATTTAAACCTAGGAAGAATTAAAATACAAAAACATGGCCCCATGTGGGTAATACACGTCCTCAGCCAATTCCGATATCTGCAAAAAGGAAACAGGGAGGGCAGAGAGGACGACACAGAACAAACTCTCGAAAAAGTACAGAAAACTGAAATAAACTTAGGCTATAGTTGTCTGAAATTATAACAATTTAAAATTGCTCCAGCGAAATAAAAAAACTTGGACTGTATTGCAGGAAGATTAAAAGCCTTAACCTCATGATGGTAAACGCCAAAAGCATATGGAATGCAATCCCTGGCAGAAGTCAGTGACACCTATAATCTGACCATGGCATGGGTACATAGAGATTCGGGACATAGAGAAAATGAGAAAGTGTACATTTTGGCCAAAAAACGGAGGCATTATAAATTCTCTCTGTAGCCTAGCACTTGGCCTCAAAAAGGATGTATCCAAAAATGGATGGTTAATGAGTGCAAAACTTGATGTAGCCACACCCCAGGCATGAAAAACAATACCCGCATCCGCAAGACTTACAAAAAAATTACTGGAAGGTGACCGCACCAGAACGAGGATTCTGGTTGGATTCCTGACAATGCCCGCCTAAGAAGGCATATGGACCGGATAGGAGTCAGAAGAAATACTGCATAAATACGAAGAGGAGACCGCGGAACAGAAGTTTTGTTTTGAAAGGTTTATATATGATTATGTTGCAACTAGGAGAAGAAAACCCGGAAGTAAGATTCTACACTTAGGAGCCAATAGCAAGACCACGGAGGTTGAAACTGGCCAGTGAATTATTAAAAAACAAAATAGAGGAGCACAGAAGATCTTCTCAGGTCGAGGTGCGGAAGATCCTATGGCCGTCTCATTTATCCTTATACCTATCCCTAATTGTGCTAAATTAATTTTATTTGCATTTACATAAAGATTTGTATTTATTATTTACATATATTGTTTATATATAAGAACCAGATTGTAAATTGCACATTATGGAACTATTAAATATCAATTGGATATGTGAACCGCGTACTTCGTAACGACAACGTGTACAGAATGTTAAATAAGCTCGACTCATATTTAGAAAAAAAACTTCCTGAGGATTTCCAGTAGCAATAATTGAAAGTGGAATCATGACGTTTTATCAAAAATACTGGGGTATTGTAAGCGCTTTCGTTTTTCAAACATATTCAAAATGTTTTAGGTTCAAGCAATTTTGACGTACCTTAAGTACGCTTTCTCTATATCAATATTCGTATTCGTACATGCTAAGGATTTGTGTACATTTAACGTTTTCATTTTAATTGGGAATTTTTGTAAATTCAGATATGTAAATATTTCAATTGTTTAACTAGGTAATAAATGAACAGTTCGTCAAATATATCTAAAATAAATTTTCGAATTAATTTCGAATTTTGACAAGCTGTACAGCATAATTACTTTTGCATTTCGAATTTTCTTAGAATTTGTGTACAATCATCATGCTCTCTCGATTTTCAAACAGTTATCAAAACAGGTATCAACATTTATTTTGAATTGCCTCATATTTCGTATTGTGTCTTGAGATTGTTAAAAAAACAAAACAAATTAGTCAATCAAACATAAAATGATGTATCATTTCGGTTTTATGACTGTGTAATAATGTATTTTTATTGTTGTTACAGGTGAGTACAACGTTCTTCCTTTGCGTATTCTACAGGACAAGTAGGTGGTTGATTATATATGTATGTTTATATTTCCTTTCGACTAACTTATAAATACCAAATATAATTTTTTAAATTTGTGAAATCTCTCATTATTTTAATCGTAGTTGGTCAACGTTAGTGTTGCGATGATGAATCATCTGCCTTAAATATTATTTATTATTCAAGTTGCAGCTTACTATTCAATCCTTGTCGCGCCGATCCATTTATGGGCCAGATTTTTTTTTTTTTACACACGGAGACAATAGTTTTTATAACCTTAACCGAAGATACAAATATTCCATTGCGATCAATTACCATAGTAAAAAAAAATGTTAGAAATGTATTTGTCCACATTCATGATACGTTTGTGGTATTCTTTTCAGTGACTGATCACTTTATGACCATATGGGCAATTCAGACGGGCCGAAAATCCTTACTCATCTCGCACCAACATTCCTTACTCTCTGGCTTTCTATTTTTCAAACTCTCTGCCTTCAATTTAACAAATATTGATTTGGTTTTACTTAGAAAAGCCTAGCCTCCTCATTATTTAACAAATTAATTATTAATAAAATATTGTATCAGTTGTAATGTTTCAATCTTAACACATAAAGAATTTCTGAACTTGAAAATTATATTGTCTCATTTGATAACATGTCAGTTAGCAGCTATTTTGAAAGGAAAAGATATAGGTATACTAGGGTGCGAAGAATCACCCAATGATGACACACTAGTAGGGTATATGTCCTAGTTTTAGGGCAGGCTAACTACAGTCTTCATCTCCCTTTTTTAACTTTGCATTTCTCTTTTTATCTTTCTCGCTTTTTAAACCTACTAATTTATTTTACGGTTTCACCAGCAACTTATGATGTTTTATGATCATGTTAATTTATTTTATGTTACGGTTTACAATTCTTTTCTTTATTCTACAGCTTGGCTCTCTGTACTTCACCGCCACGTCAGTGGCGGATAAAATAATACAAATAACTAACACATAGACAAGATAAGATTGATAGTCTGGTTGGTTTTCACCCAGAGTGCTCTATATTCTTCGGGTAATTGGAGATATGCCCATCCATTCACGCTAATAATTACATTCATACATTTATTCTCACCACCCGAGTGTAATTGGCATTATTCGGGGTAATTGGGGATAAGCCCTTTCATTCACACTAATAAATTACAATTAATTAAGGTTTTTAGTTGAGATAAAAAAGTCAATGGCACGAGCGGGAGTGCAACCCACGATCTTCGGCTAGATACGCCGCTGCTCTACCACTTGAGCTATCGTGGACCTCGATCCACTCGGACACTAACTTCCCATCTCAACCCCACCTTTTGAATTTTCCCTCCTTTTTGCCATTTTTCAAATGTCGTGTAATCGGATTGGATTCTCGACGACAAATGAAATTTTTTTATCTCAACTAAAAACCTTATTTAATTGTAATATATCAATTGGTCAAGCCGACCACGAAATTAGTGAATTTAATGATTTAAAATGAAGTATACTTCACTAAAGCTCTCCGTGGCGATTTCATTTGTCGTCGAGAATCCAATCCGATTACACGACATTTGAAAAATGGCAAAAAGGAGGGAAAATTCAAAAGGTGGGGATGAGATGGGAAGTTAGTGTCCGAGTGGATCGAGGTCACGATAGCTCAAGTGGTAGAGCAACGGCGTATCTAGCCGAAGATCGTGGGTTCGAATCCCGCTCGTGCCATTGACTTTTTTATCTCAACTAAAAACCTTAATTAATTGTAATACATCAATTGGTCAAGCGGATCACGAAATTAGTGAATCTAATAAATTCCATTCACACATTCATTCTTACTACCCAGAGAAGCATACTCCTTGGGATAGGTAAATGGAGATATGCCCCTCCATTCACGCTAATAATTACATTCATACATTTATTCTCACCACCCGAGTGTAATTGATATTACTCGGGGTAATTGGGGATAAGCCCTTTCATTCACACTAATAAATTACATTCACACATTGATTCTCACTACCCAGAGTAGCATACTCCTCGGGGTGGGTAATTGGAGATAGGCCTCTCCATTGATGGCAATAATTACATTCACATATTCATTCCCACTAATAAATTACATTCGCACATTCATTCTCACTACCCAGAGTAGCATACTCCTCGGGGTGGGTATTTAGTGATAGGCCTCCCCAGTTATGGTAATAATTACATTCACATATTCATTCTCACTACCCAAAGTACTTGATATTCCTCGAGGTAATTGGGATAAGCCCTTTCATTTCCACTAATAAATTACATTCGCACATTCATTAGGAGTATCGACCTCGTGGTGGATAATTGGTGATAGGCCTCCCTATTGGGGATAATAAATTACACTCCCACATTGTTATTTATAATAATGTAATATATATATAGTAGGTTAGTGAATTACTTTTATTTAAGTTTTATGTTGTTTATGTACTAACATAATAATGTAAAAAAATTTCACGTGCATAAAGTACTGGAATTAAAAACTAGTTTCGATTTATTGAAACAAATGCCAGTTAA